CCAATGAAATGGGACTTTTGGGCTTTTCCACGATTGTCGTGAAGAGCAGCGTCTTTACTGTTGGCAGTTCGTACCTCATCTGCTACATTACACAGGGGAAGGCGTACTTGACGTGGCTTAGTAGAGGCGATCATACCTCCCCCATAATTGTCTGGTCAAGTGTGTATAACCACTACGACATGCAGCCACCGTTTGCATTTGGTGGTCTTGAGTTGGTGAACCTCACCGTTAGTGAACAGGCGCAGGCGGGTCGTCCTATTAATCAAGGGCTCGGTGGTGCCAACACCATTTTTCTCATCCCCTGTAGGGGAACCGGTGCAAACTGCGGTGGGACCGATAATCTACCAGAGTTGTGCGCCAGTCAACCGCCAGACAGCATTTTGTTGAATAATCTGCGCGGTGTGATGACGATGTCTGTTACGGGTAGTTTCACAGTGCCGTATGTACCCTCGCCCAACGGTTACGCCATTTGCGTTCCATATTGCTACGATGCATCTGTGGGATGCGGCACGAGTGTGGAGATGTCATACACGGTTGTGACGGACGACAAATCTACGCCAGTTATCAATTTTGGTGAGGCCAATCCAAGTTCCTACAGCGTTACTCCCGCAGCGCCACAGGCACGTGAGTTGAGTTACATGCTGCTGACTGGTAGAGACCTGACTGATAGGGATGTAGTTCGTGTTATTCGGAGTGGGAGTACATGTGGGTCTCCGGCGGCGCCGTTACTGACCAATTTAAGGCTTATCCGTCTTGTGGCCGTCAGCGATACTCTTGTGAATGTCACGTTTATTGCACCAGAACTCATCACACAACAGATGCGAGGTATTGTATGTTATCGCCATGCAGGCAGTTTATTATGGTCTTCTGTAAGAAAGGACCCGGCGTTACCGATGGATGATTTTGTTATTGATATCCTGCAGCCAACCAGTTTTACGATGGTCCCGGAAAGTCCGTCCACGGGGGAATCTATCACTCTTTTCTTTGTCGGGACTGGGCTGGATGCTTCGACAGATGAAGTATTTTTGACAACATCTCCATACTGCAACGGCCTCTTGCCGGAAATACCGCAGTTTCCATGCAAATTGAGTGGTGGGAATCAACCACAGTGCGTTGCCATAATAGATCCACCTTTGAATCAGGGGCTGACGCTGCACATATGCTACCGCAAGGGCGGTCAGGCCAGTTACGCACGCATAAATGGCACTGTTGTCACACAGAGTCGTAATCCCATCTACACCATCCGCCCGTATCCGCTTTACGCCGGCCAGAAGGGGACGCTGACGTTTCATGGGCGGGGGCTTTCATTAAGGGACAGCGTCAACTTTCTTGTCAGTGGATCAACCTGCGGTGAGGGTAGCGCCGTAAATACGTTTTTTATTGCAAACGGAGTGGAGTTGGAAGCCGGCAAAACGTACCAATACGGCGTGGTTGGAAGTGGTAAGCAATGTTTGCAGATTTGTTACCGGATTGCAGATTCCACCACGTGGTCCATTGCACGTCCAAGAACGATGATCCCTGTCGTGCCTACATGTGAGGCAAAAAATCTGTATGTGAGCACATTTAACCTGCGGTACACATCGACAACTACCCCGATCACTGCCAAGGAAACCGTCACATTGACGTTCTTGCCGCCGCCGCCCTTGAATAGCGCTGTGAAACTGGTCCGCATGGATGACAAGTGTGTTGTATCATTTTGCAAAATCGGAGGTGTCACTACCACGGCGTGCGAAATTGGGCAGAACGCAGATGACTTCACGTCTGATTTAACTGACAATAAAGTCAACATGATGGCTGGTGCGGCAACCACAAGCTACATTCTGTGTGTCTCGAGCTACGGGGAAAACTATATTCCTGTGCTACCGAGCGGGCAGGGGGAAACTTCCGTTGCCTTTGCGTTTGAGACCGCCGCTGCTAACCCAACACTGCAGAGTCACACACCCCAGCAATGGCGAGTCGCGCTTGCGTCGCTGCAAACAAAGTTTGGGGGTCATGATCTCAACAGCACGACCGATTCGGTGCTGGCGGTGTTAGGGGACGCGCTGCTGTCCACCACACCACGCGTGTGTCCACCTGCGACTGCAGTGCCGAGTACGGCTTTGTTGTCGACGCTCATTCCGGGCCCCTCCACAACGACTACGACGGCAGCTTACAGTGGTTCCCATCGCCGGTACACGGGAGACGTGGTGTACTTCTGTTATCTATGGAGTTCCGGTAATCGCATAACTTACACAGGCTCTCTCGCCTTTGCGGCCCGCCTGCCTTCGGAGATGACGGCAACGACACCGTTGTCGGATGGATTTCGCGCCGGCGTCCCCATCACGTTGAATTTCACGTCCAACACAAGTGCACTGCAGCCGGAAAATGACGAGTTGTTCTTTTACCGCTTTAAATTGCCGTTCGCGTCAGGCAGCAATTGTTACTGCGGTGCCGAGTGTCCGGCCAGAGCGCTTGTGTCGTACCCAACTGTCCCGTTAACACCCGGGGCCTCCCCCACTGAAGTTCTCTGGAAAAACCCGCAGGGACTGGACAATTACAACTACGACGCCATCTATGTTGTCTGCTACAATGCCTACGGGGCCGGAAGCCCATCGTACATGGGCCGATTGACTGTTGGTATGGCACAGCCAACGTTTTACACGGCCACCAGTGCAGATGTTTTTGTTCGCGTTGGTTCTCCCATAACAGTGACGGCCGTTCAACGCTGTACGGGTGCGGGTTGTCGTCAATTGAGCACCGACAATGACATGCGTCTTATTCCCGTAGAAAAACAATGCTTTCAGGTGAATGATTCCACGGTTTTTGCAGAAGTTGAGTTCATTGGGAACGCGACGTCGGATGGAACAAATTATGTTCAACGTCTGGTGGTCAATCAGAATGGTGAATACCGCGTGTGTTACCGTCTTGAAAGCTTTTACCGGGAACTGACCCCTTCGGTTGCGGCTTCCCCGAAACCATTGGCTGTGGGTTTAGCCGATCCTGCCAGTTTTACTACCATACCTGCGTCGCCATCTGCTGGGCAATTCACTTCGGTGCAATTGTCATGTTCTCACAGTGTCTGCACGGTTTGCACCACAGTGCGGCTTGTACCAGGCAACATGGCGTCTTGCTGGATAAATGTCGATGGCACCTTCTCAAGTGACACATGCCGGACGGTGACGCTGGTGGAGTTTTGGAACCAATATTTACCGCAGGGAACATTTACAGTCTGCTACGGTGCCTCGATTGAAAGCAGTCGTCGTGTGCCTGGAATTCTTGTCGTGGCAGCTGCAAATCCCTCGACATTTACGGCATCACATGCGAACATCTTTGTGAATCAAGTCTCTGAAGTGACACTTACTCTGGTGGGTACCGGACTGACAACAAGCGACCAGATCTTTCTTCTTACAACCATAGGATACTCTTGTCATGATCTTACGACGGGGGAATTGCAGAGCAATGGAACTCTGAGTCAGTGGTTTGCGCCGAGCATAAATCCGAACCCGCTAATTATCAACGCCTTAGGGACCACGGCGGAGTGGAATGCCTCGGATCGTGAGCATCGCTTTGGTGCTGGCCTACTTTCCGATCCCTTCTTTTGTGATCATCCCGGTCAATACTGCACCCTGCAGCTTTGTTACATGCGCAGTGGTACCACCTGGGCTCCCGTGCCGTTTGAAAATCAACCGCCTCTCCGTCTATTACCGTCGAATCCGACGAGTGCTTTCTTTGATAAATATCCACTGGCTGTTGGTATGTATTCTGCTGTCACCGTTTTTGGAAACGGCCTGGCCGCTGCGAATGTAGTGACAGTGCGAAAAAATACATGCGGTGGCGAAGCCGTCACCGTTCCTGTTGGTACTGCAACTGTAACTGCGGATGGGAAAAAATGGGTTGGTGTGGTGCGCTTCACTGGAGATGGGGCAACAAACTATGCGGTCTGCTATACGTGTGGAACCGCCACAACGGAGATCGATGATGCGCATGCAGGGCCTCAGGGTGTTATATTGGTGCTTAGTGAGTTGTACTACCTGTACGACCCGGCGAACTTCACGGAGAATCACGTCTTGGCGATGTATGAGGAACTGATGGTTGGGGGTACATTTGCCAGGGAACCGGTCAATGATCTTTCGTCGGCTGAATTGATAAGTGCAGAAACGGAGTGCAACTACTTGCCTTACTACATCGAAACCGGAAAGTCTCCCGAGTTTAGTGTCCTGCTGAAACTTCAACGGCTATCGCCGAATTACTTTGGGGCTCGTTTCACTGTCGAGGCAGGAACGTATGCGCTGTGTTTGCAGGTAAATTTGGGACTATTTCGCGTCGTACGGAATCCGGACGGTGCGTTGCTCACCACCACGTCGGCAAACCCGCCGGAGTACACGTCGCAGCCCGACCTTCCTTTCCCCGAACAACCATTTACGTTAACATTCCCGCTGTTGAGCGGCGATGTCGGGGAAAATGACTCGATACATTTGATAGAAGGTACGCTTTATGACTGTGGTTTCCACAATACCAGCAGCGTCGCTGAATTTCCTGTTGTTGCTGACCCTTCCGCTACAATTCCCACTGGAATTGTCTCTGCGATCTCGTTGCCCGCACGGCTGGTAGGCGTATTTCTGACCGTGTGTTACCGGCGTACAGGTGGAACATTTGCAACGGTACCACGAGACGGTCAGATTGATCATAATTTACATCTGGTGGAACAAATCCCAAGTGTATGGACAACAGTCCCTGTGCAGCCGCAAGTCTCACGGACGCTGCAGATCACGTTTATTGGTGATAAAAGGTTCCCTGACTTTCTGCAGACAACAGACCGCGCCGCTCTGGTGCTAGTAACGGGTGGTTCGGATCCAACATGCAGTGATGCACCTGCCTTCAAGAGTGGTGACTTGGTAAAGATGGGGGAGAATACAATGTGGGTCATCTCTGCCGACCAGCTCAAGGAAGGGAAATACATTGTCTGTTATACATCGACTAGAAATGGGGCACCTGTGCGTGTTATGACTCCTCCTTACCTGACAATTTACCCCACACAGTCGCCTTTAGGCATCTTTAAAAACGACGGTGGTCCCGTTGATGTGTACAGTGGGGAGCGTTTTTATTTAATGTTTGATACGAAAGTTCCACTGGACCCCGTCCTCTTTTCAGACCCCGCCGCCAGTCAGAAGGACGCAGTGCTTTTTTCGACCAAAATGGACTGCTCTTCGCCGCTTCCTTCAAGTGAAGTGGCAAGCGTTCCAGCATCGTTTCATTACAAACCCGTGAAGGTTAGAAATCCCTCAGGTATAATCGCCCCATATTTGCATATCGTCATTGTAACCACCGCAAAGAGTCTCTTTGTGTGTATGCGACGGGTTGGTCGAAAAGAAGGGGAGGCATTTTACAAATTTGAGATGATTGGTGACATGAAGGATCCCGCCATGGTGCATGTGAGCGAATCCCCGATTGAAAGCTACGTGACACAACCTTTACTCCCGCGGGCGTGGGTCCCATCGATTGGCGTGACAACGACGTACAGCACTGGATATCACAAAGAAAAAATGTACCAGCTATTTTTTACTAAAAGCGCTGCAACTGTAGAAATTGTGGATAATTGTTACCGTCCTACGGCAGAAGAAGCGGCAGAGGCACAAGGGGTTATTTTATTGGACACAACACTGCAGGTTATTCTGGAAACGGGTCTTACACTGCTTCCGTTCCCACAAGCCGGTCACTTCCAGTTGTGCTTACAACTTAAAGGGAATTCTCAGAATGCCGCCTCCGTGCATGCCACACCGTTGACTGTGTTGAATCCTTCGCCTATAATGTACATTGTACCGGAAATCATTGCAGTGGGCGCGACCTTTCAAATGGCCTTTGTGGCGTTAGACAACATATTTGCCTCGTCTGTTATATCCGATAACATCGCGCAGGTGTTTGTTGCACCATCGAATGTGGCAAGGGGAGAAACGATGCCGGATTGTGCGAATGGAGTGTCCCCCCCGAGTGGCGGCAGGACAAAATTTGCCGAATTCACCCCAACAAACGACACTTACGCGACGGTGCAACCACACATTTTGGAAAAAGGGTACTTTTATGTCTGTTTTCTTGTGTACGATCAGCTTTCGTTCTTTCCTGTGCCCAACTCGGAGGGTGGTTTTCTCTTTTCCGTTGGTCTCACGGGTGCGCAGAGTTATGTGGTGGTGCCATCCCCCGCGTACATGGGCGACAAGCTCAACATCACTATTCGTGGCAACGCATTAAGCAACAGGGATCATGTGAAGATTGTCGATATCACCGGTGACAAGGAGGGGACGGACCACAGTGCACGATGCACGGCAGAGGCAGAAGACGCGGATGCAGAAGAAAGAAATGGGGCAAGAGGGAGTGTGGTGGATGCGTTGAGTCCAACACTGGCGGAATACAAACCACGTGTGAACAAAACAGGACTTTTTATCCTTTGTTATCAAAGTGCCCCGCTGCAAAATAGTTGGATTTGGGTCTCAGACTTGAACGACTTTACGGTTGGTCCACCGCACCCTGACGCGTACGCAGTGCAGCCGGTGCCGTTTTACGTGGGGGAAGTGGGTCTGCTGCGCATTCAGGATAGCCCCACTACCGGACTGCTTGGCGCCAACGATGAGATTAAACTTGTGAAACGTGGCAGTGGTGTCGCCGGGTTTGATTGTTCTGAAGATGCTGAAGCAAGTCCAGACATCGGGAGACTTGCGCGCATCGCGGCTGGGAGCAGCAGGACGACTGCCAAATATGAACTCTGTGCATTGGCGGCGACACGAGTGACAGTGTGTTACCGTCTTGAGCATGGTGCATGGGCCGAAGTTCCGTTGCGTGTGCCTCCACCGTTTTATCTCTTTGAGCCGGTTGTCTTTGTTGCAAGCCCCTTTGAAGGTCCTACAGCCACCCCTTCGGCACCACGACCATATGAACCATTTGAAATGTCCTTCACTAGCAAAGAAGAAAAGGTGACGGTGAAATATGTGGGCTTTGCACCAGCCCCGCAGCCACCATGTGCACCAAATCCGCCATATGTAACGCCTGTGTATTACGTGAAGAATGCGGCCACAGCAAATTCATTTACGGTTGCACTTCCGAAGTCGGGTGCGTATCAGTTGTACCTTGGCCCCTACGCAGCGGAGGGAGACCCGCGCATTGAGCACGAGCAGATCTTCACAGTGGCATCCTGCGACCCGTGTTCCTTTACTCCATCGTATTCGTTCATTTCTAACAATGTGTCATTGACATTTCCAAGCAGCAGTGGCGGGAGTCTCAGTTTGGCTGACACCGTGCGTCTCGTCCCAGTCAGTCAAGGGGCAATGGGTAACCCGTGCGCTGCACCAACGGGAGCCTTTGCATCCGTAACACTAGAAGCGAATACGACGGTAAGTACAGTTGCCGCGACCGTGTTTGACCTCTTCACGGGCAGTACAGAAGCATCGCTTGGTGATTACTACGTTTGCTACCGTAAAGGGAGAGGCGACTCGAACTACGCCATTGTGACGAATAATAATGGCGAACTCTTGACCTTTTCCATCTACCCTGCGCTTCCAAGTGAGACCTCTGTGTGTCAGGCTCGCCCATTCTTTTTGGAGACGGTGACTTTTAATTTCTCGTTTGCCAGCTCTGCGTACCCTAAGCTTGCATTCTCCGACATGGATGAGTTTCTGCTGCTTCCCACCGATGTTGTTTGCGGCGCTGCAGGATCCGCTACCGCCAAGGGTGTTATACGTCCTGTACTACTAAGCCTTGTGGCACGTAATTTGGCGATGTGGTTGGCATTATTGCCCAATGGACACACAACCACAAGTTACCAGATATGTTTTCGTCTTGCTGCAGATGCCGTGGCTCGAGTGGTGCCACCATCCACGATCACTGTTGCCCCACAAGACCCGGTACGAGTCGTGACGGTGCCATGGCAGATTAAACCAGACACTGAAAAATTTCAAATGCTGATTTACGGCATGCAGCTTTCGGCGAATGATGATGTTTATGTTGTAGATGCCTCAGAGCGGTGTGATGAACGATGTGACGAGAAGCTTAACCCAACGCCGCTGGCTTCCGCCGTGTACACAAAAAATTTTGTAAATAACACCCTTGTGGAACTGGAATTTACACAGGCCCTTAAGGAGAGTGTCGCGATGGCTGTGTGTTACCGCCGCGTAAACCAGTTACTGGTGCGATTGGCACTGTTCTACGTTGGAAGGACAAACCCGGAAAAGTACAGCACAAACTTCGTCCCACGTGTGGGCACACGGCCGACACTCACCTTTGTTGGCACTGACTTAACGGCATTAGATCGTGTCTTCATTCTTCCGGAGGGGATAAACTGTGACGAAAGCTATGCGGTGGCTGTGGGGACGTTGGTGGATGCAACGTCGGGTGGGACAAGTAGGTTTTACATGCCTCTTGTTGGTCATGTTGTGGTGGGAATCGGGGAATATGGCGTGTGTTACTTTCTCCATGGCAGTGCGGGTTATGCGCTTATGTCGGAGCCGTTTCAGGTGCAGGCTGGTGGCCCATCGCGTTTCATTACGAGCAACACGCCAATGAGGGCACGGGCCACTGAAGTCACATTTGATTACACGCCCTACACAAGTCAAGCTGGGGATATGGCAATGGTTGCGTGTGCTGGCTGTAGCTGCTGGAGCGGAAATGCTGCAGTGCTGCCGTATGGCAATCCGCAAGGGACCGTCGAGGCGAAAGGAGAACAAATTAAACTTCGAGTGGGCATAACGAGCGCCGATTCCTACGCCGTGTGCTACCGTGTGTTTGACAGTGGCTATGCGCAGGTCGGGCTGCAGCCAATTCGGGTGATTGATAACTCGCCTGCTGCCTTCAGCATTTGGCCCATACCAACGTTTCAAGGACAGCGGCTACTCGTCACCGTGACGGATTTTGTGGGGAACTTTCTTAGCATGATGGAGGAGACCAATAGGGACACGGAAGGAAGAAACATGCTTCAACAAGCCCCCAATCCACAGGACGCAGCGATGATCGTCGAGGCAATTCGCCTTTGCTGGGACACCGTCGCCTTGAATCCGAACGGCATCCTTGCAGGCCCTTCAGAAGTCTCGCGTACCACCCCCAACGAAAGCCTCTGGCGAGGTCATGTGCCTTCACTGGGTCCTGGTGCGCTGCCACTGAGCTCATTCCCCATGTTGTTCATGCTGTGCTACCGTGAGCATGGACAGGAAGAGTTTGTTGTGGTGCCGTTTCCTCCTGAGCCCAATACGATGCTTCCTGCGAATCCCTCCAGTTTCTTGACTGTGCCTCCGGACGTCTTTAGTGGGATGATTCATATTCGCATGACATTTCCTGATGCGGCGGAAAATGACACCGCCTTCGTTGTTGAATACCCCGGCGATACCTTGCGGACGAACCATGCATGTGATGATACGAAGTCGAAAATAATAGCAGCTGAAGGCCCCGCGTTCCCGTCGTACATCTTTAGTCTTCCACCGCAACTTACGGCTAAATCTGCGGTTGTTTGTTACGTGCGTGCGGATGCCACCGTGGCAGAAGTGCCACAATTATTGATTTTGACGACACCGAACCCTGCTGACTATCTCATCGAACCACCTGCGGGGACTGAACGGCAACGGCAATATCTTGTCTTTGAATTCACCGGTACGGGCCTCAACCCCACAACAGATGCCGTTGTTTTCACCGAAGTGCCATGCGCAAACAGTCCAACGTGGCCACCCGTCTCTGCATCATCTGTGCGGCGCGCAAGTTTTCTTGCCGCCACCCCCAGCACACAGGAGGGGACATCACTGACGATGGTTGCACAGTTTGTCCAGAATGCGCAAAGGATGATCTTCGTTTGTTATCGCCGTGGAACCATCTGGAGTGAAGTGGATGGGCCACTGTTACTCAACAGCCCTCTCCCCATCAGCTTGACGCTAGTTCCGCCTGTAGGCAGAGCACGCGTTGGACAGAATGTGCAGATTCAACTACAAGGCACTGAGGGAAAGAAACTTGTGCGTGCGGCAGTCATCTCCGCCCATGACTCCAGCCCAGAGTCGTGGTGTCAAAACTTCACGGCGGCCAGAGTCCAGGAGCCGCTGCTCACAATTGTCAGCGACACACAGCTCAGCGTACCGATATGGCAAACTGCCGGTCCTGCACGTGTCTGTGTAAGGTACGAAGGCATGGCGTGGTCAGATGTTGCTCTAACCGCTACCGGTCCCGTTACTGATGTCGTTGTGGAAGGCCCTAACCCATCGTCCATGCGGACATTTCCCAATCCACCCCGCGTGGGCCAACAGGTAACGTTGACATTTCAACTTTCGGAACCGCCAAGCGCGGATGATCGCGTGCGAATCACTACACCAGAACGTGACGTGGCATGCGAAGACACGCATACCGTCCCCGGCTTTTCAGAAAATATGCCAGTGTCGCCTAATGTCGAGGCAATGACCTCCAGCATTACTCTTATAGATGGCACGGATCCGTTGGCATACCGAAGTTTTAACCACACTGGACAGTTTCGAGTTTGCTATTACAGTGCCGCAGCAAGGGTGTGGAGCATTGCGGGTGGATCAGTGGTTGCGAGCATTATCAATGTATTGCCGATGGCTCCAGAGAACTGGAAAACGAGCAGTGGTATGGATCCCGTCTTCGCTGAGCCTTTTGAACTAGTCTTTGAGGACAGCTTGGGTAGTTTGGATGCATCCGGTGACTCTGCATGGTCTGCGCCGCCGCAACAATCATGCGGCGTCGATCCTGTCGAATGTCCAGGGTGCATTATATTCGAATTGGACAAGGAGAAATCTACTGCAAAGCGTGTTGTCACAAAACCGGCAGCCTCTTTAGTTGTAGGCGACGTTAATCTTTGTTACCAGCTGCGTGACGCCACGGCGGCGTTGATCCCACCACCATTAATTATACAGGAGGGTGAGATACGGTGTGTGCAAGAAACAGCAGTACGAGTTGGTCAACAACAAAATATCACATTTGAAAAGAAGCCTGGTGTCGATGTTACAGATGACAGTTGGCGTGTATCCTTTTTTGGTACTACTGCGACAAGTTGCAGCAGTGGCTATGTCCCTGATTTTGTAGCAGGCAGAGCCCATATCATTAGTTTCAATTCAACTGCTGTGACATATACTTTGGAGTGGCCCGTGTCCATGGTGTCCGCGAGGTACCTCATTTGTTATACGCATAATGGTGTTGCACGGACTGTTTGTACATGTGAACAGATTCACTCCAGGACAGGCGAATGCTATTTGTCAACGCTTCAGGCCTCACCACTTTGGTTCGTTCCAAGCCCGGATCCAACGTACGTGGGACAAACGATACAGTTGCAGTTTACACTGGATGCCTCCATGATAAACTACCCTGTCACGAGGGTGAAGCTTGTGCCGTATGTGAATCTACTTACGGTATGCACCGATCAGGAAGCGTTTCCCACTGGGGGGAATGTACGTACAGTAACTCCAACTTTGTACGTCTTTCAGTTCAAGTATAGCTACAATCAGAGGCCGGGCAAATTTATTGTGTGTGTTCTCTCTCCGCAATTGTCCGAGTTTTACGCCCGTGTCGGTACGGTGAACCCAGCAACATCATCTAATCAACTTTGGGTACGGCCGTATATGGAGTTGACGACATTCCCCAGTTCTGCCAACCTCATTCGTGCGATGCAGACGATTCGTCTGACGTTTACACACATATCGTCTGACCCAGGTGATGTCGTTGGAGCAGGGGATCGTATTACGTTTGTACCATCGCCGGAAAACTGTGTTGAATCCTTCATTGATACGACTCCTGCTGCGGATGTTATGGCACTTTTTATGGTAGATGACACTTCCTTCTCGACAGTGCCCGCGCCGGTACTGGATCCGAGCAATGTGACGCGCTCATCTCATGTCTTTGTGACATTTGATCCCACGAATGGATTGGGAAACCATTTTGTCTGTTACAAACTGACTTACGGGACATGGGCCCCGGTGACAAACTCCATCGATGTACTTCCCTCTGCCGTGACGAAATGCGACCTGCCGCCATCCACTTCACGCCCCGACCCTGGTATGGGCCCGAGCTGGCGCGCGATGCAGTACGTGCGAGCCATCATTGTGGGAACCAAAGAAACGAGCACCCTGCGCACGGACGTTGACGCGGTGCGAGTAGTGCCACAAGCATCTCCTTGTATTTCGGACGCAAGTGTCGTCTTTCAGTCTGGGGTCAGCATTGAGGGCGAAGAAAACGCCGCCGTCATTGCCTTTTCACCGAGAACGGGAATCTTTAAAATATGTTACCGCATTGGTGGGCCAAATAGCATGATTGCCAATTGGAGCCCTGTCTGTACTGAACTGACATTCACGCAGCCATCGCCAACAGGCACCTTCACGGGGTGTCTACGCCTTGGGCAGAGCCTCATTGTAACAGCATCGCAACAGGATGGATTTCAATTTACTCTGATGGATACGTTCCGTTTTGTGGATGGAGCGGATCAATGCCTTTATGCCGACGGAAGCCAAACTGTTTCCGGCACCATTGCAGTCGGAGATGCAGCGCAGGCAATTGGAGGAACACCGGTAACCACGGCTGGTGCCACATTTGTTCTTCCCCCAGCTCTGTTAGGTACCGGAACCGTATCCTTCCGTCTGTGTTTCAAAGACTCCGCGAATAATCAGTTTGCCGTCCCAATAGACGCTACGGATTCCACCATCTCTGAATTTGATGTGGCCCCGCACCTTATTGCATCGGTTCTTTTGCAACACAGTATCGCCGCGGGACAACGTGTCTTTATAACGTTTGCTGCAAATCCTCAAGTGGGAGTGTTAACGCCTTATGCTGCGTTTCCACCCGTCCCCTTCTCGCCAGGACCCGTATACGATGGCAATTTTGATGCTGCCACAGCAATTCGTTTTTCATCGCCTTTTGCGTACCGTGAAGGACGCTGTTTTGTGGCAAATCCTACTTTAAATGGTGTCTATGGAAACAGTACGCAGACATTGGGTTCATTTGATCCCACGATGGGTGGTTCATATGTCGCGTGTTACAGATCGGTAAATTGCAGTGTGGAAGATGTGGGACTAACATTTCTAGTCAGTGGA